AGAAGTTCTTTCACAAACTTCTCTTGTGATATAAATGCTCCATCTTTTGTCTACTTCGATCGGGATTTCTCCTTCTTTGCTCTTAATGCTAACGACTTCTTCGAATCTTTCTCTGAGGCATCTTCTCTCTCTTTTAGTTGGACTTCATAAGTGATGAGATTACCTACAAGATCATCAAGAGTAAGTTTTGAAATTTTTTGAAATTCTTCTATTGATATTACCTTAGGTTCCCAATTCCAAGATTGAGAACAAAGAATTTTTCTACATAGCTTCTTGTTATCATACTCCTTCCCTAGCACTTTTGCGGTATTAGTGAATCTTGTGAACATCTCATGTATGCTCTATGAGGCCTTCATCTTGAAGTTCTCATACTTGCTCACCAGCACAACAAACTTAGCCTTTTTAACCTGTGAAGTTATTTCATGTGTAACTCCTAGTGTTTTCTAAATTTCTTGCACAATAGAATAATTAGAAATATGGTTAAATTCTTCAGTAGTAAGAGAGCATTATAAAGCATTCAAGACTTTTGAACTATAAGAGTAAATTTGTTTATGTTGTGGCCCAACTTATCCTTGGTTAGAACAACTGTAATACCATCTACCTCAGTAGTAGGTTCCTTATACCCATATTCTTCACTCTTCCAAACATCTAGACTAGTGAATGATAGAAAAACTTTCATACGTGTTTTCCAATATGTCACGCCTTAGTTCCAAAATGTAAGCATTTGGAACATGACTCGGCCGACAATGCAACCACTTGGTCACATTCATGCCTCTAGGTCATCCTGTATACATATATACTACCAAACTACAATATAGAGCATGCAACTAAGATAATAAGAAATATATAGGAAAAAATATCTCTAAAAAATTAGAGTTCAAGTACAGGTCCACATCTATCCAGAATGAAAAAGGGTAAGAAAAAACATCATAGTTTTAAAAAGCCACATGTGGCTTAAAGAAAAGTATGAATCAAATAACTACCTACACCAACTGAAACTGAGAACGAATAGGATAGAAGGTGATCACTGTGCTGGGCCTGATCCTCAAAATACTCTCTATCTTGCGAAGAAAGAACATTCCCCGAATCTGGGGTACGCAAACCCCAGGAGAGTTAGAAAACTCGCAACAAGCATGTAAGATGAAGAAATTGTGCGTGTGTAAGTGTATGTGGTAGGTATAATGGAAGGATAAAATCTCAATTAAAGGTGACAAATGAAAATGCTAGTTGTAGAACATCAAGATGAAGTCTTTCACAAGGCACAAATTATTATCTTCTTAGAGATTATTAGAATTTGAGGAGAATATTTCATGTATATATAATTGGGTTCCCATAAATCGTCTCGGGAACATGGCTTTAAGTCAAGTATTGGCTCTTGGCCCTTATATATAACTCAGGATATCAAGAATGCGCATGATCCCACTTATATTCACTTTATATTCTCCACACAATTCCCCTTTATTAAACCCCAAATTTATCTATTTATTTTAAGTGGTTGTGCATGAAATATTGTTCAATAACCACAGAGTTACTGTGGAACAGCGTTCGTAAAACTATGAAAAATAATTATGACCAGAACAAGTCCAATCAAGATGGATGCATCGTCCAATGGATGCTATTATATAATAATAATAATAATCAGGAGAAACTCCTCACACCGGGATATCGATGTCGAGGGTAAGCCATGCTATGATAGCACATTTATGAATCATATTTTGACGGAAGTTGTCTTCATGCACGATCAACCCTATTAAATGTCACTAGGTGACCAAACATGGTATCAGGTATCAAACACATTATCAAATGACATATCTTCATTTATCAAAATAAAAAAACTAAATAACGTAATTATTTAGTGTCGGAAAATAAATCAACGGGTTTGGTTTGATAGCTTAAACATCCAAAATCTGATGTTTTGTTGAGTAGAAAGCCCAAACGGGTCTGTAATTTGCGTTATAGCCCCAAACGGGTCTGTTATTTGCTATCGGGTCCGAACTGGGTCGGGTTCGAGTTTGAAAACTAACCCAAATCAGACTTGTTTGAAAAAAAAAAAACAAAAAGAAAAAGAGTCATGCGGTTCAAACTCCGGACCTTCATACTAATAACCAAGCCCCTTAACCACTATACCCAAGGGTTCTCTGTTTTTGGATTGCTGCATGAATTATTTACTAATAGTTTCACTTAACTATGATTTCACAGAATAAAAAGATAAGTAAGAGGATTTATAATACTTAAATACTCTGTTGCGGGTGAAATAAAAAATATTAAATTTATTACCCGAAAAGGGAAATTATACATAAGCAACGATATGTTTCTTTAGGGAAACTATTGAGATCAAAATAAACGATAAGCTATTGTAGGCGTCAAAATTGGTCCCAAATATAGCTCAAGACAAAGAGAAGACGAAGAACGTCATCATCTAAGTCAAAGGAGATCATCCGATGCAAAAGGAAGCAAAAGAGAACACAAAACAACACAGGAAAGGATCTGGAGCTATCTCACAGCTGGTGAGACAATTTCCATTGTCTCGCGTATCCGAGATAGTGTTGACAGTCTCGGATACCCGAGATAGTAATAGCTGTCTCATCAACTGCGAGACAGCTTCTTCTGTTTTCTAACGGTTTTGTTAAGTTTCGCGGGGACCACATGGCTCCATAACTGCTTTGAAAAGTTCATTAACGTTAGTGGACGGTCATAGCTTTGAAATATGCCAACTACCAACAAAAATTATGGTATTTAAAGCAATTTAAGAGAGTGGTCCTTCAAGAGAGCCTAGGTGAGGACGTCTTTTGTCTCATACTCATTGATAGAAAGCCCAAGTGAGGACATATTTCATCTCGGATTCCTTGAGAGGGTTTGAGCGAGGATGCCCTTTGCCTCGGTTCTCAAAGTGCTTCAAGGAGGGTGAGCCGACACTTAATGAGACCCGAGGTCGGGTCGGTGTATTAGGTTTGAGTTGTCTAAAGGATGACATATGTCATCCTCTTGAGAGTAATTTACACTTAGCAATTTTTGTGATACAACATGTTTATATTTGAACAATGCCCCCATACATTGAGTGCCTTTTTTATGGGCCGAAATTTAGATTCACAACGATATCAGTTTTTTAGAAAATTCCACTTTAAATTTATGGCAAATGACTTGAACCTGGGTTGATCTGATTCCATGTGGAAAATTAAAGATGAAAGGATAATGTGATAGTCCCTAGTCATTAAAAAAAAAAAAAAGACTTATCACGTTGTCAAATTATTGGGCAAAAGTTTTACGTGGGTAACATTCTCAAATTATTGGGCAAAAGTTTTACGTGGGTGTAGTTCTGCATATTAATTAAAAACTTTTCTTTCCATCTTCTTCGCAAGGAAAGAAAAAGATGATATCTAAGCTAAATTGACTTATCACGTTGTCAACTCGCCATATCCTTAACAATCATGTGTTTTGCAAGAATCTATACTACTATATAATAGAAATAGTGCGGGGTAGGCTAAAAATGGATGCAAGGTGGACATTTACTCCATTCTATTGCATTTGAAAGGGTAAAGTCATAATTTTATAGAAGTATTTTTCCCTCTCTTTTCTTGAACTTTCTAAAATATTGACATGAACTTATTATTAAAGCTTACTAATAATATATCTATTACATTGGATATTATAATAGAGATAAATATAAAACGATAAAGTTCTTTTTTAATTTTTAAAAAATAAAACACAAATATACAATAAAAATAACAATTAGGATTATAATATGTTCCAATGTAAATATTATCAAAACTTTATAGCTAGATAGTTAGGCTAAAAATAATTAAAATAATAGTTTGAATAGAAAATCAGCAAACATGACTCTTCTAAATAAAATTATCTAAGGCAATTGCATTCATCGCTCAAATTGAAATATTTATCGTAGTCAATTCCAAATAAGATAAAAAAGATACAGCGTATCAAATGAACAAATATTATAAAAATATAATGTAAAAATTGATGAGTGGCACTACAGGCACACCTTGTGCCACACCTTCAGCCACACTCCCCTCTCTTTGCTACAGTAACCGGCCCACATGAGATATATTTTATAACTCTCATGTGGGTCCGGTTACTGTAGCATAGAGAGGGGAGTGTGGCTGAGGGTGTGACACAAGGTGTGCCTGTATCATTTTTGAAAATTTATGATATTTTAAGATAATAAAGTAGTCCTTTTATAATAAAATAGAATATTTAAGTTTTTATTCCTCTTACACGTGAGTTTGTACGTGCAATAATGCTAGTCGGCCTGAAAAATTTTACATGCTAAACATGAAAAAGTTCCCAACGACACTAAAATGCAAAAACAACCTCCTACTATTCTGGGTTAAATATGCAACACTAAAAAGGAAAGGGGTTTTGAGATAGTTGCCCCTTAAATCTTCAATAATTACATATTAGTCCCTTACATTTAAAAAATTACATATTAGTCCCTCAAATTCTATTGGGTCTTGAAAAATGGTCCTTCTAGTTAAAACATGTTAGATTTGAGGAGAATGTTTAGTTAAACTTAATGGTTAGTCAAAGTGTCATTTGTTCCCCAACTTCTTAATGTGTCTATACCCCATATCCGCTTTAAAAAACCCTAACACAATTGAGTTGTTTGTTCATTAGCCCAAAGTAGAGCTTCACAAATGCTTAAAAACATTCGAAAGAAGAGTAATCTGGTGATTACTAATATTGGGATATGTGTTAACTCAATCATGGTTAGATTTTTTTAGCTGAAATACAAGCAGAGGGACCATTTTGCAAGACTATACGAGATTTAAGAGAGTAACGTACACTTTTCAAGATGTGAGGGACTATAGCCATTATTGAAGATTTAAGGATCTAATATCTTAATCTTAAAAAACTAAAAGAAATTCACATAGCTCACATACAAGACAACGGCATGCAGAAGAGCGGCCCCACATCAGGATAAAAATAATAAAAAAAAAACCCTTAAAAAAAGTGGGGGCAATCGAAGAAGACACAGGGATTCCTCTGCAAGCGCCATCACTTTTAATTTGTGGCTCCGCTCCCCAACACTCCCAAAAGAAGAACTCATTTCCTGGTGGGAGAAAAATAAAAACTCTATAGAGAGAGAAACCAAACCGAAATCATTCAACAAAAAGAAAGAAAGAAGGGGGAGAGAGGGATAGTTCGCCCCTCTCATATCCAAATCGGCCAAACTTTCGCTAATGTCGGGCCGAAACGATACGAGACGCATTCGATCACTGACTTAGGGTTTGGGTTGGGATCTGTAAATGGGGAGCGCGACATCGGAGGATCCCTCTGATCCAGCCTGCGATGTGAGCGAGTCGGAGACGTCGTCGGAGTTCTCTGGGAGGAGGTTCTTCGGCGGCGCCGGCGGCGGGGCCTCGGCGATGATGGTGGCGGATGCTGAGGTGATGTTTTGGGACGGGAAGCTTGAGAGGAGGGAGACCGATTTTACCGGTGGGGGTTTTTTTTGTCAAATTTTTTTTTTGATTTATTTGAGATCCTATGGTTTTGGATCTTTTGCCCTCTTTTGATTAGTTGACCTATAATGCCGTTTCCATTTGGATTTTCAGTTTCGTTTTGGATGTGATAGTTTAGGTATAGGGAGCAGAGACAAATTGAAGATAATGTAGATAGGATTAAGGAAGAATTTCATTATTCCGAGAAAAATGATGGATTATTGGATAGCCAAACGATGTGAAGAAATTTACTAGTAAGTTTAAATGCATAGTTTTCAGAGAAGTCGTTGTAGTCGAGTGGATAAATGAAGTATCAATCTGCTAATTTCTTAAAAATATTTGGAGCGTAAGTTTTCCCTTTTATTTGTTCCAAATCGCTCTAGACTGCAAAAGCTGATATCGGATTCTTAAGAGCTTTCTTTTCTTTCTGTTCATTTATTCGAGATGGAGAGATGCCTCTAAGTTGTGCCCAATGAGAAAACCCAATGCTAAAGGTTTTCTGGTATTATTGTTAATTATTTATAACAATTAGTTGTTTTACTTCTTTCAGAGGTTGAGATGATGAAGGAACGATTTGCGAAACTTCTTCTTGGTGAAGATATGTCTGGTGGAGGAAAGGGAGTCTGCTCTGCACTTGCTATATCCAATGCCATTACCAATCTCTCTGGTAAAAATGGTTTCTTCCACTTTATCTTCTAGGTCTCCTCTCACATAATTTACCCTTAACTTATTGTTCATACAAAATTAATTCATCTAGCTACTGTATTTGGAGAGCTTTGGAGGTTGGAACCCCTAGCTCCACAAAAGAAGTCAATGTGGCTCCGTGAAATGGACTGGTTGCTTTGTGTTAGTGATTCGATAGTGGAACTTGTCCCATCAGTCCAAGAATTTCCTGGCGGAGGGACATTTGAAGTGATGGTTTCACATCCTCGCTCCGATCTCCACATGAATTTACCTGCACTCAAGAAGCTTGATGCAATGCTTCTGGGGATGCTTGATGGCTTCCGAGATACTGAGTTTTGGTATGTTGATCGAGGGATTGTGGTTGCTGATACCGATGATGATGGAAATGGAGCTTACCCATCTTCTTCGTTTGGGAGGTCGTCACTGAGGCAGGATGAAAAGTGGTGGCTTCCATGTCCATGTGTCCCGCCAAATGGATTGTCGGAGGAAGCAAGGAAGAAGCTACAACAATGTCGAGACTGTGCAAATCAGATACTCAAGGCAGCTATGGCGATAAATAGTGGGGTGCTTGCTGAGATGGAAATCCCTGACGCATATTTGGTGAACTTGCCTAAGGTATATTTGGGGAAATATTAGTCTTCTGTCTGGTTTAAAAGTTTACAATTGACCTAGATTAACTGAGTATATTTAATTTCTTATTGCATGCAAATAATAGCAAATTGATTAGCTGTTTACACATAACTATAGAAAATTGATTAGCTGTTTACACATAACTATAAGTGTTATTTTTTATTAGCATTGGCGATTTATAGTGTCTATGCTATTTAGTGGTATATTTTTATGTTAAGTTACAATCATCAAGACGCACACTCATATAACAATTATATTCAAATGTTAAAAACCAATTACTTGAGGACATAATATTTTTATGAGGTTGCTTAATGCACGTCTTTTTATCTCCATGAACATTTAGGAGGCACAATTTTTGCAGTATATGGGGTTCATGCATGCCGTTTCTGGAGGATAATGGTTCCAACTTGTTGAAAATTCTTCGCAACTTCCAATACGGATTCTGAGGATAGTAGTCCCAATTTTATGGAATTAGCTATTAAGTCAAGCTTTTCTACTATCAAAGAAAGGCTAGTTCTAACTTCTGATTTGAACTTTTTATAGGAATGATCTGAAAGCTTGTACAGTTAGAGTAGAGTGTGGTCTAGCAGAAAGTGTGGAGCTTAGACAGCCGAAGAGCTCATGACTTATGGCTGATCTTTGATTGTTGATAATTGGAATATAAGCATAAGAAAGTTATTAGATACTTGAAAGTTAGGAATTAACAATTACCTAGTTAACATTTGCTATTGGGTAATAGTTATATCTCTTCTCTCTATTTTTCTTGTTAGGTAGGTTAATTAGTCCCCTTTCAGGATTTAAACGCCGATAGATATCTACATAGGAACAATGTTGTAAAAAGCGGCGAATAGCGGCGCTATAGCGCCGCTATTCACGGAAGCGGTGGCGCTCCGCTTACCATGCTCGCGGGGTGTCAAGGCGGGGAAAACCACTTTTCACTCAAAAAACGGCTGATAGCACGTAAATAGCGCTGTTTAGCGCTTTTAACCACTAAACAAGGCTATTTATTGTTGTTAATTTTTCTACCCGAACCTAACCCGAACCCTAAACCGATCCGAATGCATAATAACCTCTTTCTCTCGCCTCTGAATCCCGACCCAAGCCCTAGCTGCCTCTTATTATCTCTTTCGCCTCCCTCTCATCTCCGCCTCCACCTCCGGTCTCCGCCTCCGCCTCCGCCTCTGGTCTCCGCCTCCGGTCTCTGAAGCCGCCTCCGCCTCCAGTCATCAAAGCCGTCTCTGCCTTTGTGTTCGCCTCCTCCTACGGCTATATCTCTTAGGCTTGGCCCACAACAGAGAAAAAATTAATTTACTAATTTTGCAAGCTCAGGCTCCTGCTCGTGCTCCTGCTCGTGCTCCTTCTATCTACACACCTGGGACTTAAATTTGTGTTGCTATCTAAGCACTTGCAACATAAATGAACTGCATTTCCTTTTCCACTTAAGACCATCCAAAAGTTCTCATTTCCTTTTATTGTACCCTTTTCTGCTTCAACATAAACAGAGGATATTCTAACTTAATTAACTATCATGATGCCCTCCTGATTAAGATAATATATTATCAATCAATTTTAATTAATTAACTATCATGATGCCCTCCTGATTAAGATAATATATTATCAATCAATTTTAATTAATAACATGAAACAAATGAATCTAGTCTAGCTAGCTCATTTGGAGGTTAGCACTATCGGCTGGAATGTACATAACTTGGATATTAGATAGGAGAAGAAAGATTAGGGTTCTAATATAGGATTAAGTGGAATAAGATTGAACTAAGCCTGGGGCAAGACAACTCCTCTAAGATCTAGGACCACTCCATTCAGGGACAATGGTAGATCAATGGAGTGACCAAGATCTTGAAAATTTTATCTATAATAGTAACTTATAACAGGTTATGACTTATGATTTTGAACTCGAACTCATAAATATTCATTTATAGTTTATATGCTTAATGAAAATGATTTTGAACTCGAACTCATAAATATTCATTTATAGTTTATATGCTTAATGAAAATGCTTGTGAATGAAAATGCTATATATCGAACTCATAAATATTCATTTATAGTTTATATGCTTAATGAAAATGCTTGTGAATGAAAATGCTATATATGCTTTCTGTTTCAATTATTTATTTTCTAAAAGTTCATCTCTTCAGTTACACATATATTTCATGCTTTGGCATTAATACGCATTTGCAGAAATTTTTATCATTTTTCTTATTATTTAGAATATTTATATATATTTATATTTGACTGTTATTTGACTATGCGCTATTTGTCGCTATTTTGCCGCAATAGCCCTAAATAGCCTTAACGGGGTACCTTGCCGCGACGCGATGCTATCCGCTATCAGTAACCTTGCATAGGAATTCACTTCCTGTAGGGATGGTTCATCCTTTCTATTCATTCACCATTCATCCAATGTATTTTATGCAAATCATAGTAGGGGTAGTTTATTCTTCATTTGCCTTGTTTCTTGTAGCTTTATACTTATAACTCATGGCTGCGAATCTTAATCGTCCTCAACTACTTCTCCTCTCCATTGTGTTAGTGGGCTCAAAACTTGTATTGCCTATATGAAATAGGAGTTCAACAATTGGTTGTGTTTTCAGTACTGAATGGAGAAAGAAAACTGGGCATGCTATTAGATTTATAGGTTTTTATCTAGTAAATTGGTATTGTAGTTTTTTGAAATCTTTTGTACTAAAAGACTTGATTCATTTTAAAACTTGCAACCTGTAAGTAGACATATTCTAAACGGGTTTGAAATCTGTTTATATTTTAGGCTAGCAGGTAATAACGTATCACAAATCATAAGATACAAATATATTGTAAGATACACCACTTGCATATTGTATGAAATCATAGGAGGCATACCATATCATAAAATTTGACAGCTATGCATATTATATGAAATCATTGGGTGCATACCATATCATAACATTTGACAGCTATGGTCATGAGGCATATGCTTAGTTATAATCATAATTGATGTCCAACTAACCGGTTATGCAGTAAGAGTATGTGGAATCTTGTATCTTATATAGACCACTGAGAAGATTTTCATATTTTCAGGGTGAAGTCATTGAATGAATGCTTGTGCAATAAGATTCATTATCTGTCGATTTTAGAAAACCACAAGAGCATATATAGTTAGTCCCATTAGTTTCTTGCCTTCTTTCTTGATGCTACTACTGGGTGATAAAAATGACATGTTCCTACTTCTAGTTTTAGTTTTTCACGTTAAAATGTTATTTAGGAGTTTTTGAGGTTCTCTTCTTATCCATTAACTAGAGTAACGCTGAGAGAGAAAGGGCTCGAGGATTGAAGAATAGACCATTGCTGAAGGCATAAAACAGATAGAAGAGAAAAGCTACAATTTCAGTTGAGTTGAAAATTAATAGCAAGTAGATAGTAATTGAGAATGAACCATTCTTATTCGCAGTGGTCACTGACGATGGTGCTGCCTTCTTTTTTGTGTTTGCTATATTTTGGTTTTGTGTGGGGGTTAAAAGAAGGCTTATGAATTGGAATCTGTCATGGTGATTGTTCTAATTTTTTTCTAACCTAATCCATTGATTACTGCCAGAGATTTTAATGCTGAAGTTAATTCAGTATTAAGATGATTCTATAGGGAGATAGAATGAAATAGAAAGAATTTTCTGATATAGATTATACATGTATCTTTTTTGTGTCTAGGATATAGTGCCCCAACAAAAACATCGCATATAAACTATTTTCACTTTGAGAAAGCATTGTGATTTGTGAGCTCTTCCCTGATTAGAGGACGACTTAACCCTCAAGGCTAAAAGTAATTTTCAGTTCAAGTGTTCTTTAGTGCAAGACAATAATAATTAAGTAATGTTACTGGTTTACCATAACCATATTGAATATTCAAAAATATAGGAACTGTGCGAAATATAAAATAGAGGATTCAACAGAGGATCATTATTAGAAATATTAGTATTTAGTAATAACAGATAATTACATGATTTCGGTAGTTGACTGACAATTCCTGCACTAAGAAAGGACTAAGATAACATGATGAAAACTGAAAAGGTTAAACTGTCAGATGTGTTGGCAACAGTAAAAACTCGTAGATCATAAACCAGTTCAACTGCGAGTAGACTTACATTTCAACATACATATGTTAAACTTATTTTTTGTATCTCCCAAAAGTAACTTTTTTACAATAAAAACAATTTCTGATAATGGGATAAGTGGCTTCAGAAGGGATAATGTATTTACAGAATAAATTAACATAGATCAGTTTGATGGGACTTAAAGAGTACTGGAATAACTTTCTTCTCAGATCCTGCATATCCTGAAATTTGATATAGCTATACTAATTTTGTCAAAATGAAAAATTTAGATTAACATTCTTATCATCTTTCTCCTTTGGAGTTATCCTACGTTTTGTCTTTTATCTTCATCAAAATTGTCAAAGTGAATAATTTACTAGGGAACAATGTGATGTACCATTTGTGGCATGTATAATGAAGTCGCCTGGACATGCATGTGCAAATCTATTGGTTTAGTTTTTATATCTGCTTTGCTTATCACTTTATTGTATCAAGTTGATAACATTATGCAAATAAAAAAATATAGTTCATGAAAAGAGCGTATAAAACATTCTCTTATTGGAAACTCTGTTCTGTCGTTTATTCTTAGAGCTTTAGTAATTTCATCAGACATCAAATATGAATGTATAACCGTGAGCATTCAAATCTGTTGTGATAAATTTGGTTAGTGCAAGACAGTCATTTTCAATTATGCCCCCTTGTTCTTTTTACATGGTTTCCATGAGCAACAAAGATATGATAAATATGAAAACATCTGTTCAAAAACATTTATTTCAGGATTTGCTAAAGAATGTAATTTGAGTAAGCTGGCAATATGTTTGAAATAAGATCCATTGCTAACTTTTGTTCAGGTTATCATTTAGATGGTTTACTACAGATATCTTGACTATTTAAAGTTTACAG